TGAGGACGAGCCAAGCACAAGCAAGGATCTAACGGCTGATGAACGCAACAAGCGCGCGCAGACTCTGAACAAACTGAAGGAGGTTGTCTGGGAGACGCTGGGCAAGTCGTGGCCACGCCACTCGATCGAGACCCAGCACAGATATCAGCTCTTCTTCGCCGCAAACTGTACCAGCATCCTAAGCGAGAGCACGCGTCCGGTCCAGGTGAGTCTGCTGGCCGCCCTCACCAAATACATCGAACGGCTGTACATCTTTGATGAGTCGGCCAAGCTACCCGATCTGTCGCAGATCAATCAAGAGAAGAAGCTCAAGACAGAGACGCCAGTTCTGCAGACGCGTGAGGCCATTGTTGGCAAGATTTGCAGCGATGTCCTGGCCGCAGTCTCGCTGGCCGCTGGTGTCCCTCACACGGGCCTCAAGAAGGAGGCCCTTAACATTGTTCTCATGCTCATCAAGCGCCTCAGTATGGCAAAGGATCAGCAGCCGCTGGCCCTTATCAAGCAGAGCTTCGAATTGAATCTAACCAAGTTCCAGCGCGACTCGGCCCCCGAAATCCGTTGCCGTATCAAAGATATTGAGGATAAGCTCAGCCAGCTGGACGGTGTCAATTAGAGCTAAGAATCGATCCATCGATCGATACCGATTAGATCGGGAAAGGGTGAAAGAGATACAGATATATGCCAGCTCCGCGTAGCTTGGGGTTAAGTCTGCAAAAAAAAACCTTGGCTGAATTTAAAAGAGATTCTCCTTTTGGAGAGATATTTATCTTATACTATACTATGTGTGTCTGTGTAAAGTATTTAAAATGTAAAGAAAATATAATTCGCTCTCGAGTGAATGCTAATCCACATTGCGTGTGTGTCTGTCGCCACATAAATAACCCCACAAAACAAAAGGTGTTTCATCAAAATAAAATAAAACAAAACAATTAAAATTCGAATTCAATTCAAGAATAAAATTTTCACAAAATAATACTTTCCCACTTCCCCATACCCAAGTATCACAGCCAGGCGGTGACAGTTTACTGTTCATTTATAGCTTGTCCCTGTAAAATCGTAAATAGATCTCATCCTTGGACTCCAGCATAAACGTTTTCGGATTGAAGCGTATCTGCGGCACCGTTTGCTCACAGACCTCCACCCGGCACAGCCTCAATATGTGGGCTAGGCCCAGTTTAAGCTGCAAAGACCCCAGACGACTGCCGATGCATCCATGGGGGCCAGCTCCAAACGGTATATAGGTCATGGGCACGATGTCCTTGCTCCGATCTGTACCAAATCTTTCGGGATCAAAGCGATTCGGATTCGGCCAGTACTGTAATGGAAGTGGAGGGAGCGGTATGAGCGGTGCTTCCCTGAGTCTTCGCCTTCGGTCTTACCTTTTCATCGCGATGCAATCCCAGGATGGAGATGTACGCAGGCATTCCGTTTGGAATCACAAAGTCCACGTGTGGCTGCAGTGAGAATCCCTTGGGATCTGAGCTGGTGCACTCCCTGTTGATGAACGCAGCGGCTGGATATAGGCGAAGTGACTCCAGGCAGACCATCCGAAGGAACGGCAGGGTGACCAGCGTCTCGTACGTGAGGGTGGGAGCCAGTGAAAATGCATCTGCCAGCTCCTCCCTCAGACGCTTCTGCAGATCGGGTTGCTTGGCCAGCTCGTAGAGGGTGAAACCGAGCAGAGCAGAGGAAGTCTCGAAGCCAGCAAGCAGAATGATGCTCGCCTGGGAGGCTATGAAATCCGGATGCTGGGCGTAGTGGCCGGAGGGTCGACTGCTCTGCAGGTGCAGCAGCTGATCGATCAGATCGCCCCTGCTCCGCTTCCGAGGATGCCCCACTAGGCTGCGCATGAACTGTGCGTACTCTTTGCTGAAAACCTTTGCCCGCAGCAGCTTCGTCCACTGGGGCAAGAAGAAGATGCTCATGAAATCCAAGACCTTCCGAGGATCGGGGTCGAACAACTCCTTGGTCTTCTTCAGCAGCTGGGACTTGCCGCGGCGCAGTCCGCCCACATCCATGCTGTAGAAGAGGTTTCCCGTCACATCGGTGGTGTATAGCTGACACATTTTACTGAGCGGTAGCATCCGCTCTGACCGGTCTCCGAGCTTCCTGAGCAGATATTGCTCCAGGTCTGTCACCACTCTCATCATCAGGGGGTACATTGACTCCCGCATCCGTCCGCTGGTGAACAGCTGCGCCATGGACTGACGACTCTCCCGCCAGTTGTGGTACTTGGCCAGCGGCAGTGTCAGCGATCCCATCGGATCACCAGCAGCATCTGCCGCCTCATAGCGGTTGAGAAAGCTGTTGAAGTGCTTGATGAGCACGAGGCGAATCACCTCCGGATCCCGCACCATTAAGGCTGGGGTCTGGAATAGGAAAAAACCCACTACCTTGGCCTGACCACCGCGCGGATCAGCATAGATATTGTGGAAGAGATCGCCGAACGAGATGCGCAGCAGCAGCAACTTCCTGAGGTGTCCCAGCGGTGTCCAGGCGGCGACGGGCAGGTGGACGATGTTATGGCGCTCAAAGTAGCTATACCTTTGCCGCAGCCAGAGGTAGATGGAAAGAATCGCGAGCATCAGCAGCCACAATGGAACCATGATGATGATACTCTATTAATGAACAAATTATACAATTTTCTAAAATATATCCATCAAGCGATCGATGATTGGTATAGATTAAAGATCACCTTGATCTTCTCCAACAAAAACTTGACATAACTTTGACAGAGAATAGAATTCGCATTACAAAAGCCTCGCCTTGCCCATTCATAGACTAAATTAATTCATAAATCCCGGGACCATCTTGATGAACCCTTGATGTTTGGTATACCCAAGCAGCTCCCAAAGCTGCTTAAACACGAGATGAGCTCGCTGGGAAACCCTCAGTAGCCGTAGGAATCTCTTGGGGCAAACATGGTTCTTGGACTGCTCCTGCTGGTGGTCATAGTTTTGGCCACTCTCTGCTTCCTGCTCCAGCAGCATTATGCCTATTGGCGGCGTCGAGGAGTACGAGAGCTGCGACCCCACTGGATAGTGGGCAACCTGGCGGGACTGCTGAGCATGAGGGACAGTCCGGCGGACTTTATGGGGCAGCTGTACAATCATCCGGCTGCTGTCAACGAGCCCTTTGTGGGCATACACGTGTTCCACCGGCCGGCGCTGCTGGTGCGCGATCCCGACCTGATCAAGCGCATCATGATTAAGGACTTTGGCAAGTTTTCCAACAGATACTCAAACTCGGACTTTAAGGGCGATCCACTGGGATCGCAAAACATATTCTTCCTGAAAAATCCTGCCTGGAAGGAGGTGCGCTTCAAGCTGTCGCCCTTCTTCACCAGCAACAAGCTGAAGAACATGTTTCCGCTCATCGCGGAGGTGGGCTCCAATCTGGACGCCTATCTGCGGGAGCAGCCGCTGCACAACGAACGGACCCGCTGCTTCGACCTGGAAGCCAAGGAGCTGTGCGCCCTCTTCACCACGGACGTGATTGCCACGGTGGCCTACGGGGTCCAGGCCAATAGCTTTACTCAGCCCAACGGCGAATTTCGCAGGCACGGCCGATCCGTCTTCGAGTTTAGCCTGAAGCGAGCGGCGGAGTTTACGCTGGTCTTCTTCCTGCCGCACCTGGTGCCGCTCTTTGGCTTCAAGGTGGTCCCCGCTGAGGCTACGCGGTTTCTGCGCAACACCATCAACTATGTGATGGCCGAGCGCGAACGGTCCCAGAAGACGCGAAACGATCTCATCGACATCCTCATTGAGTTCCGACGCAGCACACAACAGGCAAAGGCTGCTGGGGATCAGGACCAGTTTGTGTTCGAGGGCGACATCCTAGTGGCACAGGCTGTGCTCTTTTTTACCGCCGGCTTTGAGTCCTCCTCCTCCACAATGGCCTTTGCCATGTACGAGCTGGCCAAGGATGCCGACATTCAGCAGCGTCTGAGGCATGAGATTAAGGAGGCTCTGATGGCCAGCGGTGGACAGGTGACCCTTCAGCTAATCGATTCCCTTGAGTATATGCAGATGATACTGCTGGAGGTTCTGCGCATGTATCCTCCGCTGCCGTTCCTGGACCGAGAGTGCACGGCCGAGGACGAGGACTACTCCCTGTTGCCGTATCACAAGTTCCGTGTGCCCAAGGGAATGCCCATCTACATACCCTGCTATGCCCTGCACATGGATCCCCAGGTGGGCACAGAATCATTCTCTATTGCTGGCTATATAGCTCATCTTTTTCTACGTCTAGTACTTTCCACAGCCCCGAAAGTTTCAGCCGGAACGCTTCTCGCCCGCTAACCGAAAACTTCACACGCCCTACACCTACATGCCCTTTGGCCTGGGTCCGCATGGCTGCATCGGAGAGCGCTTTGGACTGCTCCAGGCAAAGGTGGGGCTGGTGAATCTGCTGCGCAATCACCAGGTAACCACCTCGGAGCGCACTCCGCGGCGCATGAGGCTGGATCCCAAGGCAATAATACTGCAGGCCCACGGCGGCATACACTTGAGGCTCGTGCGCAATCCTTTAGGCATCTGATACAAAAGATGACTCACCCAGCTTTTTGTCTCGGAGCAATGCAGCCAACAGCAACTGGATGTGAACTAAGTCCGAGATTCGCGTGTTCTGTCATATAAAATTGAACTGGGAAGCCGAGACTGTCACATCTTGGGGTGCATTTTGATTGGAAAATTGCGTGTCTATCGGAGCAATAAGAAGCACACGCGGATTACCGAGTCTACATAGTATCTGTGCACTCTCTGGCCCCCACGAGATATCAATCTATCCTCCCTCTCTTTAGGCATTTTTCATTCATTTATTCGCTGCTCTTAGGCTCAATCGCCGCTCCCTAATACTCGCCTAATCCCCCATTAACGTTATGGCGTTTTGGAAACACTTAAAAGAGCATTCAGCTAAATTTAGATTATATTTATTTATTGGTGGCGCAGTTTTCCAGGTTTTCAAGCTCAACGCACAACCACACAAAGTGAGAGATTAAATGCAATTTGATAACTATATTATAATAACAATTTTGTTTTTCTACAACAGACAACTAAAGATCGATTTTATCACGCGGCTGCCAATTCTGGCTCGAACTATTGTACAATCAATATAACAACATTAACCTCTCTGATCATCGCATAGCGACTGGCACACTCTCTCTCTATCTTTCATTATTTTGTACCCAACAATTTGTAGTTGGAGTGCGATTCACTGAGCCTTAGCTGCACTCTCCTCATAGAGGCGATCGTTGACTATCTCCAGGTGGATTCCTGACTGGGACTGCAGAACGAATCCCTTCGGATCGAATTTCATTTCCTTCATGGTGTCTGCGCACACTTTAACCGAATGATTTTTGAGTATGTGGACCAGTCCCAGCTTCGTTTGCAGCAGACCAATGCGGCTGCCAATGCAGTTGTGTGGACCGGATCCGAACGGTTGATAGGCCATGGTCACAATGGATTTTCGGTTCTCCGGCGAAAAGCGCTCCGGATCGAACTGCTCGGGATTGGGCCAGTACTGCATGAAAGAAAAGAGAGGCCAACCATTGAGATCTAAGCTGGCTTTTGGTCTTCATTCATTCTTAACGTTACCTTCGGATCGTGCTGCAATCCATAGACTGGTATGAAGACCGGGGTGCCTTGCTCGTACGTGAAGTCATAGTGGGGCTTCAGGGAGAGGTCTGGCTGGCCCTGGATGCTGTTGTACTCGCGATCAAGGAACGGCAGCACTGGATACATGCGCAACACTTCGTCCACCACCATGGACAAGTACTCGAGAGATTGGATCTTCTCGTAGGAGAGAGTACCGCCACCCTCCACCAGAGAGTCGTTGATCTCCTGGCGTAAGCGGCTCTGCAGCTGCGGATGCTTGGCCAGCTCATACAGGGCGAAGGACATGGTGGACGAAGAGGTTTCGAAGCCGGCAGTGAAGAATACACCGGCCTGTGCTACCAGGAAATCAAAGTTGTGGGCATAGTGTGGCTTGGTGGGCTCCGCGACCGCTTCCTTGCGTAGCCCAACCAGGACATCGATTAGATCATTACGAACGATCCCGGTGCGCTCCCGCTCCTCCATGACATGCTCAATCGTGCTTCGCATGAAGTGGGAAAATTCCTTGGTGAAGAACCGAATACGCAGCAGCGACACCAGCTTCGGCAAGAAGAAGGCCACAAAAAAGTCCTTCGCGCGGGCGAGGTTGAAGGTGAACAGTTTGCGTCCATGGTTGCGAAAGTCTGCATTTGGGTTCTGCAGACTGTTGGCCCGAACGCCAAAGGCTATTGTGGCTATGCTGTCAGTGGAGAACTGCGCACAGACTTCCTTGATTTCAGTGATGTATTTTCCGGGATTGCTCTGGCCATGCCTCTTCAGATGTTCCTCCAGATCGTGAGCAATCTGCAGGGAAAAGAGTGAGATTCGAACTAACTCTGACTCGTGCCTTGTATACTCGTACCTCTAGCATCAGGGTATACATTTGCTTGACCTTTCCACTGGTGAAAACTGGCGTCAGCTTATTGCGGATGTCTTTCCAGTGTGTGTCCCTCACAAAGAATAGATTGTTTGAGCCCAGAGGATCGCCGTGGGGATCACAGCGGCCGTATCGATTGTGAAACCGATTGAAGTCCTTGACCAGGACAGACTTCACCAACTCCGGGTCGCGTATGATCAGGCCGGGCTTATTGATTGCATACACGCCCACCACAGCCTCGTCCTGCATCTTGGGATCATTGTAAATATCCGACAGGTGCAGCCCGAAGGAGGTATCCAGCTTGAAAGCGGCCTTTGTGTTGCCGATGATGGGTGTGGGCGGTATGTAGGGAATGCCCTTGCGCCGCCAGTAGCTGTGGCTCCGCTGGAACCATATGTAAACGGCACTCAAAGCACCCACAATCAGGAAGAGAGCCTCGGTCAACGCCATCTTATTGCTGAAAATTTCATTATGCCATAGTGTTTATCGCTTATTCGAAAGTCGGCACTTAAGTACCAGCTCTTATGATACCAGTAGGTCAGTACTCTAGTCTACCTTAGGTCGCACTTGCTGCTATGTGGCTGCTGAGCTCCACCGTCAAGTGTTTTGCTAGACTTGTTTACAGCGATTTCATTTAATTGAATCTTATCTTTCACGAGTGATTTTCAATGCATGGAAAACTATAAATCTTAGGGCTAAGTTGTTGCAAGCATCCAGGAGGACTTTCTACAACCATTTTTACTGCCACTCGAATTTTTGTTGTTAAATTTTAAACTTTATTGAACACCTCGTACCAAGTTGGTGCATATTGTTCTCCCCAACCATTTCCCATTTCTCAACTCACCTTATGTAGTTACAAGCCGTGTTGTTTCAGTCAAGTTTTTGTAAGTCCTCGCTTTTAACGCCGACAATTAAGACTAACGCGAATTCGAATTGTGCTGCCATATTTATAGATGATTGCGAGATAGCGATTACACATGTACACAGTACGATTACAGATTACAGTTCATGTACATATGTAAATAAATAAATAAATTTGCTGAAAAACAAACACAGACACGTGTGTATGTCTGTGCAAATGGCTAGTATCACTTGCTAGATAGGCCAAGTTTCTTAATTGATTGATAATAGTAATAATAATAAGTCCAGATATGGGGGTACAACAACAAAATTAAGAAAAATGTAAAAAGGGAACATTTAAAAGAGAAGTCTAATAGGAAGTTTCCACAATTAACTTAAAATGTATATTTCAAATACATCACAAATGTGAAGCGAGTTGAGGAAGGAAAAATTATTGCATGCTTCTTTTTAATTGAATGCCACGCAAAGCCGGTAATCGACTTTGATGCATTAATCAATGTCAATGTCATTATCAGGCTTGAGAGTGGCTTGTCTTGAGAGCCACAATGGCAAAGTGTCGGGGCGATATAACAGGATCGAACAGATCAATCAGATAGCTGTGATTGTATCCCAGCTCCTTGAGGTAAAGCAGGCGGTCCAGCAGAATAAGGCTCTCCAATAAAGGAGCAAATGACATGCGTATGAGGTAGAACATGTCCAAAAAGTGTTTATCCAGGGCGTATTCCTGAAGAAGGGACTGCAGCTCCGCAACATCGATGGCTGCCAGCCAAGAGGCGTCCAGTTTCTTGGCACATTTTTGTATGTAATCCTGGAAGTTTTCAAACTTGCGCACTTTTCCAACCTGCAGTTGGTTCTTCAGGTGCGGGGCGTACCGGCAAACTAGAACCTCCAGCAGCGCGCGATAATAGAGCGTTACATTGGGAAGTTCCTTGGCATCCAAGGTGCGTTCAATGGACTGCGCGGCCAGCATCCTCGCGTTGCGGCCCAATTGGATCTGACGCTTCTGGAGATATTGACTAAGCGGAAATCCAAAGTCTGTTTGCATGTCCATCAACGCCTTATTCCCGAAGAACTCCTGCTGCGAGTATCTCTCCTTCAGCAAGTGGTAGCAGCAGCCAATGTTGCACAGTATTTGGCAGTCGGGCTGGGCATGGAATACCTGCAGGCAGGTGGCAGCCAGATTACCACAGGTGTGCAGTCCCGTCAGGCAAATGCTTAAATTGCCCGCCAAAGGAACTGTCGGGAAGTGCTCGGCAATCAAATTACCAAAATCAATTTCGGTGCTTATGAATCTGGCAGTCGTTTTGTAGTTTTCCAGAACGGGCACACTCTTCGCTGTATTCCTCGTTGGAGACTTTTTGCCTCGCCGTTTGGGTGTGATTCCTTGGCTCTGAAGCTCGGCGCGTTCTGTGAGTCCATTCCATGCGCGCTAAAATTAAACGAAAAATACCAAATTTATTCAAAATATTCAATTATACAACACAGTTGAACGCGTGAAATAGCCCTGCCTTTGCAGCTGTCCCAAAAATAGTAAACAAATGATGTATCGGTATATTGACAAATACCGGTATATTTTGGTATTTTTTTGGGGTGCAGATAATGATACCATCCCTATTTCTGCTTCACACTTTTTCCACGCGAAAAGCCCGGCATTTTTACCATATTTCCTTGTTTTCACTCTTAAATCGTTTAATAATAATAAAACAAACACAATGTCTGCTGGTATGCCAATCAACCCCAAACCATTTCTTAATGGTCTCACTGGAAAACCCGTGCTGGTGAAACTCAAATGGGGACAGGAATACAAAGGCTTCTTGGTCTCCGTGGACGGCTACATGAATATGCAATTGGCCAACACAGAGGAAGTCATCGAGGGTTCTGTCACCGGCAATCTGGGAGAGGTGCTGATACGCTGCAACAATGTACTCTACATAAAGGGCATGGAGGATGACGACGAGGAGGGTGAAATGCGCGACTAAGAACGCGGATAAAGGAATGCTACTTGGAAACTCTACTTATATTAAGTGTATAAAACTAATGAAATAAATAAGTATTTATTTTGTAGTCGAGTGTTACCTGAAGTTTCCGATTACGGTTCAAGGCGTTTTCCGTGTTGGCAGCGTTGGCGTCGATGCCGAGCACACGATGCCCATATTGGAGCGCCATCCGCGAGGACAGATACCCCTTGCCATCTCCCGCGTCCACAATGCAAAAATCCTGCTGATGTCCAGTGCTCTGTATCAGATTGTCGACCAGAGCGGCTGCAAGCTCAACCTGTGAAGGGGATCACATGAGGGACTAGATTTAGCAAAAAAGTGTTCAATTGTTCATACCTCATGACATTTTTTGGCACTCATGAATTCCCTGATGTTGAGCTGGGTCGCATTTTCCTGCTCCTCTATCAGTTGGTCCACTGTTGTTAGTAGTTCTGGATGTTCAGACAAACGTTCGTGCTCTCCCTTCGTTAAGAAACGTGCCCATTCAGGAAATTCAGTGGTGGAACGCTTCTTTTGCCAGAAAAGATTCTCGATGGCCAGTTCTAGGTCTTTCTTGCTATTGATCTCCTTTCGCATTGCCTCTGGAATAAATCGGCTCCAGTGCTGATCGGTCAGGTAGTTAACCATATGACAATTGAGGAAATCCCAATGGGGCTGGATGTATAACAACAGGGCATCGAGGCGTTTTTCCAGCTGAGTCACGCCTTTGGCCATTACGCCTAGAAACTATAGTCTTTGCGATTGGCAGGAGATGGCTCAGGAGAAGCTGTTCCTTTGGTACCCAATAGGGCACGTAGGCGACGATGTGTATTGCGTATGGTTTCTACGGTTCCGATAATGTCCGCTTCCGGATCGTTCTTGCGTGGAAATCCTTCAATGAGGGACCGCAGCTGGTCAAGCGTTCGTCGTACTCTCTCCGTATGCGGAAATTGCTGCTGAGCCACAACCTCTCCCAGTATTTTGCCAAGTTCTTCGCCCAATTGCACTCCTTGGGAGTAGCCCAATTTGTAACCCTCCTCGTTCCCCTGCGAATTGCCGTCTCTTAAGCCTTCGTCGTAGCCAGTGCGAGCGTGTTTCTCCTCGGTTAGCACTATATCATCAAACAAATCGTTAATATCTCGCGACGGAGCTGACATTATAGGGTTAAATGTGATCAAATCTGTCGCCCTCTGCAGTTGGCAACACGCTTAAATAATGGTTCCGAAATTAATAATGCTCCGGAGCATTATATATATTTAATTTATTTGTTGTTATATTTATCTTACACCGCCTGACCCTCAAAAATATACTGAATCATATATGAGTCAATTTAAAAACATTACCAACTATTTAATTTAGGACGCTCATTCCTGAAACTATAATTGTATCCGATTCAATAAATTGTCTGAGGTTAGTAATTGGCTAGTAATTTTTAAAAGAACATATATGTAGAATCCGAAAAGTAAGATCAGGCAAATGGTATTTTTAAGTGTTGAGCAACGAAACCCCGTGGTAGTGGCACTTTAGCGTATAAATGGCCAAAATTATTGGCCCTTAACTAAATTATCTAGAGGTTATACCTAATACTCTCTATACCCGAACTCAAAGAGTGCTCCATATTATATCCTTGAAGGGCATTTAGTTTGTATTTTTAATAAAATTTTGTAACTTTGCTAATTTTGCATATTTGTTTTCCAAACATTCGATTTGCAAAAGGGGTAAACATTATGCTAGTGTTTAAACCCGTCGAAGGCACATGGTGCTAAAGTATATTTGTGTGTCTAATTTAATTACGTCCACGCATCCACGTCCTCTTCCGAGTTCTCTCCGTCGCTGGATTGAGGGGATTTTCTCTGCGGTATAACCTTAGACAGCTGCTGCATGAGCGGATTTCCAGCGGTTGGGTGTCCGGGATTCTGACTGCCCGAGATTCCTTTGCGTCTGAGCAGGAGCTTGTTGTGGAGATCCGCCATAAGATCACCCGTTGCAGGGGTTCCAGTTTTGGGTCTTGTGGTGTCGACCACGTCGAGTGGTGCTGCCGCAGCCGAGTGAAGCCGTCCGCCCAGTGCTCCACCAGCATTTCGTATGGCAGCCATAAGCTCCGATCGTGGATCAGCCTGGCGTGGTGGAGGCGGTGGCATATTCAGGGGCGTTTCTCGAGAAGGAGAGAGGGGTTTAATAGGACCTTTGGTGGAAAAGGTTGGTTGCGGGGACTCTGTTTTAGGAGCCTGTGGCGTCGGTGGAGGGGGTGGAGGAGGTGGCGGTGGTGGTGGTGTGCCCGAAACGGGAACTGATCCAATTGATCCTTTTAATTTATTCTTCACTGGCGCTGGAATGTGCGTTTGAGCTGCCAAAGCCTGCACTGTGATCTCCTGTTCTACCACCTCCAATCCGGGTAAATCTGGCAGCTCTCCAAACTGCTGGGACGGAGCAATGGGCGTCTTCTCTTCGACAGGCTCGTACTGCAAGTCGTTGGCTATGCCAGGAAGGTCGGGCAAGTCCAGGGGCACATCGATGGCTGGAGCAGCCAAAGCAGCTGGATTGTATCGCAAGTCCCCGGCGGGAGTCGCCAACTTTGTGGTGCCATGTGCCAGTGAATGAGGAGCCGGGGCTAGAAGGTTCTCCGTCGTGATCTTATTCTGGCTGGCTGCACGTCTTGTCCGCTGCGGGGGAAGAGAACGCTTCCAGGCGTTCAGATCATCGCCATAGGCGAACTCGTTGGTGTTGAAACGCATCAGCGAAGGCACGGATCTAACACCATTCAAGGGTAGACCACCTAAGCCAGAAGTCCGATTAGTCAGCTTCCTCTCGGCGACCAACGGCGCTTCGTGTTCCTGCTCGGCACGCACATGAAAGGAAGTCGGATCTTCATCGGCCACTGACGCCATCTCTTTCTGTAGACAGTCTGGATTTTCCTGGTTCCCTTCCATTAGTTGGCCGGCCACCTGTGGAAAGGTTGAGGCTATGTTGGCGAAAACTTCGCCGGCAGGAAATCGGGCCGGAGCGAAAATTTTAATCGCTCGTTTGGACCCGACCAGTGCATCTATTTTCCCCTGGGCCCGCTTCACACGTCTGTTTATGTCCTGGACCTTGGCACCATTTCTCTCGAGGCGGGCATCAATCCGCTCGAAAATAGAATTTATTGTTTTATGTAGACAGTCCAGTGACTGGGCTGCTTTGATTATGGTCGCCTCATGATGCAGATCTGTCGGTATTATCGCAACTTGGTAGGCGCTGCGAATGTAGGTGTTGGCTTCCATTTCCAGTTAATAATACTATGCATAATTAATTGCATTGCCAATTGCACTTCAATAACTATCGTTTAAAAATATCGTCATAGCTGTCAGAAGGTGAGCATTGTATTTTATTTTTTTCCAGCGGGAACGAAAAAACAACAAAACATTGTCCAATTTTTTCTAAATCACTTAAATCGGTTAAATTTATCCATTTGTCCATTTTAACATTATTGCCAGTCAGTCCGAAAAAATATCACCTACAAGTATATCGATATATCGTATTTTATATACCTAACACCAACAATCCGAAACATAATTTTAGAAACAGTCCAATAAAAGGGAGTCGTTTAAATTAGCCAATCTTGAGGACAATGCATACATCAATGGGATAAAATTACATGTCAGGTACGGAGAGTCGAGGCTAGCTTGTAATATTAAACCGAATATACAAAATCATATAACCCAGTTTTCTCCGATATATGTTCGGTATATTAGGATACTGAGAAGGTATTTTTAGGTGTATTTCTGAGGTCAGACATGTATTTTATCGAAAAATGCGCTGTCACACTCATCCCTAACACCAACATCGTAGTTTGTTACGTGAAAATTTTCAACGCTAATTTTTGTTATTTAAAAGTTATTTAATATTATTTTCAATTCTTGAAAGTGTCTTTAACTGATTGTACAAATGCATTAACAACAAAAGGTATGTGTATAAAATCGCTTTAATAATTGAATGCTGGTTTAAAAACTGAAAAACGCGTGTGCATGTGTTGGTAACATAAACGTGGCTTTGTCTAAGAAAATTTTGCAAAAGATACATAAACATTGAGGCTGTGTACAAAACTGTTGGAAGCTGTTGTGCTGAACATGCAGACTATAAAGTGAAACAAAGTTTGCATTTTAAAATAATCGACCTGCGCTTGCAGAATGCAATTTACAAATTGCAGCCATCAAAGAAATGTGTCTGATGGGCGCCATATTGAATTTTCATAGCATATGTATATGTGGGTGTGCTTGTGGTTTGTTTTCAGACGCGCGTGATTGTTTACCTTGCCTCTGCGCCAAGAAACTCTATTCCCATCCCTAATCTTTTTGTAGCTTAGCAAGTTCAATACGGTTGCTTAGCAGGTACTAACTAAACTTTGTCTTTCTCCCTTGTAGCGTTATCATTAGCAACTGCGTGTTTCTTCTAAGCATTAATTTGATCAATAGCCAGATCGAGGATTGGCGCCTAGGGAAGAACGGCAAAGATGGATCAATTATTTCAATCCTACCGGGATGATGAGCGACGTATTGGTGAGGAGTATTTGTCGAGTCTACAGGATTTGAACTGCAATAGCAAACCGCTTATCAACATGCTCACAATGCTGGCCGAGGAGAACATCAACTATGCGCACGTCATAGTCCGCGTGGTGGAATACTACATCAGCCAGGTTAACATAAAAAGCATATTTATTTCAACCAAGACACCCAAATCACACAAAACAGTGACTAGTAAGCCCCCGTCGTCGTCGTCATCATCGTCCTCGACAGCTGTCTGGGACGACAACAGTGAATCTCCATTTCGATATGTGATAGGAAATTTGGTTACTCTTTATAAACCCTCTTGATCTGTTTGGCAATTTTCAAAGGAAACCAACGAAAGACATCAGCCTCCCTTTATATTCTTACAAATGTGATCGTTTTTCCCAGGGTTTTCGTTGGTTTCGTTTGGAAATAGTCATTTCAGATCCCTTATAATTCTAGTTAGGTTCTATATCTAAATATTTATGACATAATTTGGGTTTTAAGCCGAGACTGATTTTATCCTCTACAAAGGTAAGAAGTTTGATTTCCTCTTCAATTTTACTTTTTTTTTTCCACTTTAGAACGCAGAGTTTAAAGCTAAAAAAAAAAGAAAGAAAAAAGAAAAAACACAAGTAAACTGAAAAATGCAATAAAAACAGAAAATACTTAAACAATCGTTATCAAGTTGTCTTTTATTTTATACAAAAACGTTGACTGCTTCTAAATAACCATGAAAGAAAAATGCAGCAATTTTTGTTATTGCGAAATAAAGATCTCGCACTTTTTGGTAAAAGTAAAGCCGACCCAGTAGCAACTTAGCTTATGTTTGTATCTAATCCGAAAGTAAACTCTTGTTATGAATCATAAATATCTCTCACCTGAAACACCAGTGGAAAAGGACAAACAAACAGTCTAACAAATTCATTTGCTCGAACTAATGTTCATCACATTGGTATACAAATTACACAAAGATTCATTAAAACTTCATCAGCTGCTCGGATGCCTAGAAGTATCCCTGTTGCCTGTTGCAGTTATATCTTGATGGTATCAGAATCGCTGATGATGTCGCCGATGGAAGATAGTCTAATTGATGGTCGTCTGTCTGTCCCCTATTTTTCGCTCTCTTTCTCTCTCTCTGTCTCTGCCCCTCTGTCTGACTGCTAGCGACGTTCCGTAGAAACTTATTGTTCTATATTCTTACCTATTTTACCAAACTTCAAACAGGTGCCGCCCGAGTTTAAATTGCCCATACTATATTTAATTGATTCGATAATTAAGAATGTGAAAAGCAGCTACGTACAGTTGTTTGCGCAATGTATAGTCAACATATTCCTCAACGCGTTTGAATCGGTAAGTCACATCTCTCGATATTAAATATGTCAGACTTTCCCGAAGCTAACCACGTTTTTTCATTACTCTCTTCCACCTATAGGTTCAGCATTCCCAGTCCCAGTTGTTGGAGAAGGTGCGCGAACGAATGTACGCCCTGCGACAGACCTGGAACGAGGTTTTCCCGCCCTCCAAGATGTATGCCCTAGACGTGAAGGTGAAGCGTCTAGATAATAACTGGCCCATTACGGCCAAGAATCCCACTAACAAAATACATGTTAATCCCGCCATTCATGTTAATCCGGACTTTCTAAAACCGGTAAGCAGTCTGCTAATAGTCTGTCATCACAGAAATCAATTGGCTAACGTTGTTGTTTCTGGGGACTCATAACAGGGTATGGTCCCTGGGATGCCAGCTGCTACAGTGGCCACACTGTCCAGCGACATGGAGGAGATCCTTCAGGCCAAGACCCGCGAGCTTCTGGAGCTCAAGAAGCGCAAACTGGAGCTTGAGCTGGAGCAAACCAAAAAGCATTTAGAGGAGCAAGAGCGTCAGCTGAACCAGGCGACGGATGCCATTGCTGTCGCACCCGTTGTCGCTATGCCAGCACCACCTGCTGCTGTTGCTGCTCATCGTCCACCCATTATGGATCCAACTATCCGAAATTCTAGAACCCCTGGGATTCCTGCGATACCAAATACGCCAGCTGCACAACAGGTAATCCCGGAGGCATAGAGTTTTAATATCAAGTGCCACTAACATAATTTTTCCCCACGCAGCCATTTGCCTCAAAACCAAGGGTTAATCCGGTCAATCCGGCTCTACTAAACTCTGTGCGACATCGTGACCCCCGTTTGGCACGACAGATGCAATCACAGTCATCTCATCAGGAGGTAGCTTCCTCACGCTCTTCCGATCCCCGTCTGGAGGGCAAATCCTCATCTTCACAGAAATCTAGTCGATCGCGCAGCAAGTCACCGTCACGCAACAGCAACAGTCGTTCCACCAAGAGCAACAATGGCAACAGCTCTCATCCAAACAGCTCATCGAATCGCAAACGCAGCGAGTCGAAGAGCTCAACATCCTCTTCGGGTTCCGATATACGACACAAAAGCGGCGGTGGCGGTGTCAGCAGCTCCACACTATCGCCTGGCAAACGCTCATCTAAACAACCCTCAAAGGAGCATTCCGAGCGATATGACCGCAATGGATCACCGTCAAATTCGAAGCGTAAAAGCACCTCTCCAACCTCCTCGCCATCAAAGTCAAAGCGCAATGCGTCTCACAAATCGTCATCGTCCATGCGAGGAAAGTTGTCTTCGGCTCGATCCCGCAGCCGTTCGCCGATCTTCATGGACGTGGACCTGCGCAGTGGTGGTCGAAAATCTCCTGAACAGAAATCAACCACTCCAGCAGCCGCATCTCAAGTGGCATCAGCACCACCATCATCATCAACAGCATTAGCACCGGCGGCGGTAGCGGTAGCGGCAAAAGTGACAGTCACCACGAATGATTTAGAGAAACGTAAGAACCAACTTTTAATTCTAATCTCACATTTGTTAGCCAAAAACCAAGTCGAACTCGAAGCTCATGGCCGTACAGGCAAAGTAGTTGAGAAAGCTGAAATTACAAACCAAATCGGCGGCACTCTCTGGCTTAGGCAGGTGGAAGGGCGGGCTCTTGTGGGCGTGTGTTGTTGACCCATCGTAACGTCTCTTTGCTCTACCTACCTCCTCCTCTCCCTCCCTCAATAAACGCTGTGATTAATTGTGATATTCATCCTAAAGACAGAAAGTTTGTCAAGGTTTACAATTGTTAAAAAAAAATAATATTCAATAGGAGTAAAGTAAAGTAGAGTACAAAAATCAACCAAGCAAATGGCAATTGTTAAACGAGATAAACTTTCTTTGGTCATGTCTTCGTTCGTGTGCTCTTCATTCTCAATAGAGGATCGTTAGAACCCATTCTAAAACATTCTTACACTTTGTAAAAACCTTCCACTTTACGAATACAACCGAAATGTTTTGGTTCCCTCGTTGCTTTCTGGTCCATTGTTTGGGGGGAATAGAACGCAGCCTGCCCACCAAATGATCATTTAATATTTATGGAATTTTTGGTTTTTAATAATTAAGAGTGCTATCGAAAAAGAATCCAAGCAAAACCAAACCTTTTGAAAATCAAATCGTAACTAAAGTGTAAATAAAATGTGTTTAAAAACCTTTTGCATTCCCAGTTGTTTTAATTGATGCAAAATGTAGCCAGTGCCGCCTTTGGTGTGATTTGTAGTTTATTTACAGTCTGTAAATGCCAAACCAAACAAAGCACAAAACTAAATTGAAACGAGCGAAAAAAAGCAAACAAACAAAAAAAAGAAAATATGAATGATAACTGTCAAGTAATTTTTGTACTTAAACCGCCTATTGATAAAAAATTGATTGATTAGATGAAAGAGAAACTAAAATAAATAAAGACTGCAGTTTTAATTTGTTGTCAACACCAACCGTGTAAACAAACGCGAAACTTAAAACATACAAATTTATAAATATTGGAGTATCAACCAGACAAGCGAGACTTATATATTTATTTGATACCTATAATTGTTTGAAGAGTAATTTTGTAGTTGAGCTGGCTTCCCCTATATGTATTGTATATTCGAGCCAGCCAGCCCAACCACTCACCAGTTAGTTGTATTTTGTATTTCTATTTGTATGTACATCTATCTTATTTTTGTATTTGTAGAACGGCACTTTTACCCCTAGTATTTTTACCATTTTAATCCTTTAATCCTCTTTTTTTTTGATAGTCTAACCCCTCATTTCGCCTCATTGATTCCACAAACGGAGCCCCTGCCCCGTGGGAACTCTTCAGTTATGATTTATCACATTCATTTCGTTTTGAGTTTTGTATAATTTTATTTAATTTCTCACTAATTCAACACTAGCCTGGCTGTTGTGCCTGACGATGATGATTCATGGCCCGTGCCTGTCCTTTCTTTTCTGTATGATTTCATTATGATTTGCTCACATTTGGTGCTCCGCCAAAATTAAGTTGCTTAGCACATTTTCTGCTTTTATTACTCCTTTTACTTTGGTCGTTTCCCTTGCTTCCATCTCATTTTCCCCTTTCCGTAAGAACAAAACGTGTGCCCAAAAGCAAAATCAATTTTCTAGATACATTTCAAATACTCGAACCAGGCCATCCAGCTCCTGCAGCTCCAAGTCCACCCATTATGGTGGCATCCAGTATGGACATTGACTTGAGGCGGCCCCAGACGCCGCCTCCTCCATCGTTCTGCATAACCAAAAGCAAACCAGTCGACCAGAGCAGCAGAGCCAGCACCAGCAACACCAACACGACTACCCCATTCACATCCAAATCCAACAGCAACAGCATCAGCAGCACAACAAAAATTGCTAGTAGCGCCTCCAACGCATCATCGCCATCATCTACTAGTACTACGTCTTCTTCAAAATTGCCCGCAAAAGTGTCGTTCAAAATACAAAAACAGTTTAATAAATTAGATAAATCTACAGCGAATTTATCAACAGCATTACTGCTAAGCCCATCGACATCTGCATCTACATCAGCCGCAGCATCTGCACCGCTAGTCAATCAGGGTAATGTATCGGAGGCACTGCAGCAATCCATCAGCAAGTTGCTGCAGGTCCAAGGTGCCACTGGGGAGAAGCGACCCGCAGATTCGATGCCCCCAGAGATCGACGAAGAGGGACAGCCGCCGCAGCAGAAACGCAGCAAGTCAACAAAACTGGACGCGTGAGTGATCTGATTATATATTTGGAGTGCTAGGCTAATTATGAAAGCTCATCTATAACCCCATTTTCCCCTCAGTCTCTTTGGCAGTGAGGATGTTGATCTGCGGCGCGAGATACCCGCTGTGGTAAAGCCTGGAAGTGTTAATGCAGTCATCGTCGTCGAAGATGACTCAATGGACAATTGCGACGTGGAAAAGGTAGGGTTTCCCCACCGAAACGGTGCTACAGCTACTTTCGGTGTTGTATAGCTATTTAACATATACATTTCTTTTTTGTGGTGTGTTGTAGCCAACATTCAGTGAGCTGCGTGCCAAGCTAGCAAAATCTGCCCGTCATCAGAAGCCATCCGGCAAGGCCGGTAAGTAGACATAACCCGAATCAGCAACGGGATGAACTAATGAAACATCTCTCCATTCCGATAGACAAAGCCAGAGATCAGTCTGTGGTGCAGCGAATCAAGCAGCTGGCCGAGCTGAAGGCCAACGATGATTCGCAGGAGGCGCACGACGAGAAGATGCGCACGATTCTCAGCCAGGCTCATGAGATGTTCGAGAACCACAACATGAACGAGAACCAGTACAAGGACCTCGTACAGAAGGTTGTGGCCATTAACGAGAATAGCAAGCTGAACAGCAAGGAGTCCCGGCGCCGTCCCGATGGTGCCGAAGTGGAGCGCAATGCAGCCCGAGATGCTGTTCTACGCAAGCGGATACCGAAGCTAAAGAGCAACGAGAATCATGCCACTGGCTCCCCACGCAGCGATGGTTCTCCCAGATACGAGGATCAGGCAACGCACGGATCGACGTCACCCGGGAAGCCGCCGCAAAACAAACGGGAGAAGTCGAAGCGAGAGAACAAGAGACGAAAGCCCAGTAAATGGGGTGAACAGGTGGATCCTGCGGCAGCTCAAAGAGCTGCCTGGCAGCTTGCCAATGTCAATAACAACAACAACAATAACAACAACAAGAGAGCAGGTGGTTCGGTGCCTGTTGTGCCTGCCGGGTTCCGTGGAATGCCCTGGCAACAGCCGCCAGCGATTGTGATGCCTCAAACGGTCGTACCGCCACCCCCGCAGCCACCCTCGATGTTGGGTCTGCCACCAGTGCCACCCGTAACAATGACAAAGGCCATTAACTCACTGGACAACCCCATGGCGGATGTGGTGCGCAGCATTACCATTGATGGCGGATCGAAAGAGATTCGGTTCTACAACCAGGTGGCCATCATCTTTATGGATGGCGACGAGCCGCACGAAATTGGCTTCCAGCATGGCCAGCGCGTGATCCTGATCGATCACAACGACCCACTGCCGCTGAGCTTCAACGACGACTACAAGCCAATCCAGCTGGATGGCGCCCTGCATCGCATTCGCTTCGGCTTCCCCTCCCGCGAGCTCTACATCGACGATCATTGGTATGAGATTTACTTTGGAGGACCGCCAGTCTCTCTGCCCATTGGCAACAACCTGCACGTGCTCAAGGCGGAGGGTCCTCCTCCCAATGTGGACATAGGCAGGGTGCGTCGCGACCTGGTCGTTGGCAAAATAAACATGATCGTGGATGCGCACACCATTGTGCCTCTCTTCCTGGATGCCAGACAGCAGACCTTCCAGCTAGGAGCCGAACAGCATTCCATTCAGTTTGTGGACAGCTTCCAGTACGCTCTCCTCGATGGCCAGCTCCAGAAGATTGAATATGGCGGCCTGCCAAAGGGCATGAAGCTGAATGGCGGACGCAGCTGCTTCATTCGCTTCGGGACGTTGCCAAAAGGCGTTGTGGCCGGCAAGACGCACGTGGCCGATATGGTCTACATCAAGACAGAAGCCCCCGCTGAGCCACCCCAGCCTCCACCGATGATTGTCCAGCCCCTGCCCGTGTTGGAGCAGCCAAAGGCTGCAGCACCAGCCGTCTCCCTGCCAGCGGCCTCCGCTGCTCTTGGCAATCTGAATATCAATGATTTGTTCCAAAAGCTAGTCTCGTCTGGAATAATTGGTGGCGCCGCCACCTCCTCTATTCCGGCCATATCAGGTGCCGACTCAGCCTCCACCAAAGAAGCTCCTGCAGCCTCAGCTCCAGTGGAAGCTCAAAAAACAGCCGCCGCACCGGTGTACACCTCGCCGCCCACGGAGCCTATCAAACGCATCAATCTGCAGAGACCAGACACTATCAAGACCAGACAGTCGGCCGTGGTGGCCACGCTCTACCTGGGAATGCAGTGCAGCAGCTGCGGTGTGCGTTTCCCGCCCGAGCAGACCATCAAGTATAGCCAGCACCTTGACTGGCACTTCCGTCAGAACCGACGGGAGCGTGACTCGACCCGCAAGGCGATCTCCAGGCGCTGGTACTATGACCTGAACGACTGGCGGCAGTACGAAGAGATTGAGGATGCGGAAGAGCGTGAGAAAAACTTCCTGGAGACACAGGGCCAGTCGGGCGGACCCGATGCAATCGATGATCTCTCCCAGCAACGATCGCTGGACTCGCCAGTACCCACCTGCGCAGCCGGTAACGATGATGTGGACCGCTCTTGCGACATGTGCCACGAGAAGTTCGAGCAGTTCTACAACGAGGAGCTGGAGGAATGGCACTTGCGCAGTGCCATTCGGGTCGAGGATAAGATCTACCATCCATTGTGCTACGAGGACTACAAGGCCTCGTTGAACCCTCCAGCACCAGCTAAGGCAGAGCAGACAGACGCCAATGATGTGGACATGAACAACACCGACGACAATGCAATGGACACGATACTTAAGCTGGAGGATGAGGATAAGGCAGATGGTAAGTTGCTGCATAAGCTTTGCCCTGTGATTTTCTACATGATTTCCTTCCTTTTGCGAATAGACACCGGCAAGCCGTCGCAGAACATGTTCGATGATGACGATGATGATGTCATTGTGTTGCCCAACGAGGAGCCCAGCGTCACGGAAATCGTGGACGACGATGAAGATGAGTATGTCCCGGCTAATGTGACGCGTGCCGAAATGGGCGTCGAGGCCGAGGACAAGGACAAGATGGATCAGAGCTCTGGCTGCGAGGAGGATGGGGAGAAGCAGAAGAGCAGCCAGCAGCCACAGAATGAGTCAGCCAACGAGTCCGATGTGGAGATCCAAGAGCCGAACATTCCCTTCACCGATCTGGACACGTATGTGGAGAAGGAGATGGATGAGGAGACGCGCTTGGCCCTGCTAAATGTAAAGATCAAAGAGGAGCCCAAGGACGAGTACGAGGAGGACGAAGATGATGGCTTCGAAGATGTGGGAACGGTAGTGCCACTGCTGCCATTACCCGAGGATGAGATATCCATTAACAGCAGCGGTAAGTGTGTCCCGCAAACAGCTATTAAGGCTCAAAAAGCTCAAACTTTTGGCATCATGGCAGAAACACAAACCCAAACGATTGGGTCCTCCCCATCGCCGGCCACCGTGGAGCGACCAGCTTCAGTGGCCTCGCTCTCACTTCCTGCCAACGATGATGAGCTGGAGGCCGCGGACACGGTGGCGACGGTGGCCAGCGCGGAAACAGAACTGAATGGAGAGCCGCAAGAGTCAATGCATAACCTGAGCGCAGCGGGACCGGCACCGGCATTACCTTTGGCTAGCTTAGTTAATAGAATCAAAATAAATATCACTAAGAATTCAAGTAGTAATAGTCATAATAGTGCCTCCAACGCTTCATCGACGCCGGCAGCAACAGCAGCAACGATGGGATCGGGAGCGGATACGCAAGTCTCGGCAATCAGTGTCATTGGCGGCTCCGGAAACTGCAGTTCTGCGGAGACCTCGCAGCAAGTGAACGCAATTCAAACCATTTCCACCATTCCAGTTCTCTGTGGCGGTAACACATTCGTGCCCAAGATTGCCACCAGTGCTCCAGCCAATATCAGCTCCATCTCAGTCATTGGCAGCAGCTACGGCAACAGCAGCAGCAGCAGCAACAGTCGCAGCACCAACACAATAGCCACCACAATGGCACCGAGTACGGCAACAGTCTCGGCGGGGGTTGTCGTCGTTGCCCAGAAACCAGCAACACCTCCTCCTGCTGTGGATGCCGATCCGGAGCCGGTGGTTGAACTGAAGCCAGCGTTACGGAATGTGACGCTCAAACGAACGAAAAAGGTCCAAAATGGCACCGAAACCTCGGGTCTCTGCTCGATCATGTAACTCGGCCGAGAACACAGATATTCCTATTTAATTTTTTTGCAATTATTTTTACACGTTACTTAGTTTTAGCAAGATAATTATTCAAACGTTCTCCATCGCGGAGCGTTATTTGTTCTTTGTAGGTACCCATTACGCACTAGGGGCCGAGCGCGCCTCCCATCGGGAGCCTCTAGCCAACACACATTCGTCTTCATCGTTCATTACGGAAGCTAAACCTTAGGAAAATGTAATAAAAAAAAACAACAATTACAATCTAAAAACTGAATAAAATACTTTGTGATCATTTTACAACACAGCAAAACGATTTAGAATACCCTACAAGATCCACCACATCCACATGCTTTTCTGTGACTGCTAATTATTTGTAAATGCTAATTTGAAAGAAAAGAATAAACAGAAAAACTGAATTAACCAAATTACTTGAATACTTTTGAATCGCATAGTTATTGTTATCCATACTTAAATTGTATCCATAAATATTCGAAATAAAGTATATTAATCACAAATAAAATTAACTTGCTTTTCAATTTAATGCAGTTGAGAATAAAATTCGTGAAAAGTACATGCTTGAAGTGAGACATATTCGAATGCGCGCCCAAAACAGAGTTGCCTGCTCACATAAATGGCAACCTTCTAAGCAGCTGTTGCTATGTACTAGAAAATCCCTACCGCCTTATAGTATGCACGTGGTGGTGCGGCGCTTAAACAAATTTTTTTATTATAAAAGAAATATATTGAATTAAAGCCCTTGCACTGGTATATTATCAAGATGTCATCGTCATTTTTTTTAAAAGCAGGCGCCAAAGCCAACAAAAAACGGAAGGTAAGCTAAAAGCAGCCTACAACGTAAAGTACCTTTTAATGTTCGAAAAAGAATCCCGCAGCCACCAAAGGTAAAGGCGTCAAAACAGCAGCAAAAGCGGGGAAAGGTTTCCAGAACGCTCGTTCGGAAGGGCCAGTGCCGAAGAAGCAACGGCGTCCCAAAGAAAAGGATGAGGAAATCGCAAGTGAAGACGAGGAGTACAACAGTGACCTCGGCGACGGAGGCCACAATGCTTTGGCGTTCTCTTCCGACGAGGGCGAGGAGGAGACTGCACAGGACAAACGTCTGCGCCTCGCCAAGCAGTATCTGTCGGAGATTGAGAAGCAGGAGTCGGAACGTGCCGAAGATCGGGAGCTGGGCCAGAGTGTCGAGCAGCGGCTACAGACTGACTACTTGGATAGTGTGGGGAAGCTGCGACGGAACATCGCTGGCAGCCTGAAAACCAATGAAGCGACAAGTGTTCTCAAGCACAAGCTCCACCACACGCCAATCTGTGCCCTGGCGATCAGTCCAGACGGCAAATTCCTCTATGCGGGAGCCAAATCTCAGTTTGTCCTGAAATGGTCCACGCAGAGTGGAAAGGTCGAGGACAAATGTGATGTTTCACCACACCGAGAAGAGCCCGAGACTGGCAAGAAGAGACGCTCCCATGTCATAGCCATCTGTCTGTCCACGGACATGAAGTACATGGCCCTGGCTGAAGGCGGACCGCATATTCAAATCTGGTGCCCACAAACGATGAAGCATGTAAAGACACTTAAGGGTCACAGAGATAGCGTAGCAGGCCTGGTCTTCCGTAAAGGAACACACGACTTGTACTCGGCAGCAAAGGATCGCTCAGTAAAGATTTGGTCACTGGACGAGATGGCCTATGTGGAGAGTTTGTAGGTGACGAACAGCGAAAAACACAAAAACATATTTTAAACCATTTCATCTGCAGATTTGGTCATCAAACTGCAGTCACCAGCATCGATGCGCTGAGTCGAGAGCGGGCGATTACCGCAGGCGGTTCGGATTGTTCCCTGCGAATATGGAAAATTACAGAAGAATCGCAGCTGATATACAATGGACACAGAGACAGCATTGAATGTGTAAAACTAATGAACGATGAGCACTTTGTGTCCGGTGGAATGGACGGGTATGTAAGAGAAAGTCTCGGGACTGGCAGACTATTTAAATTTCCCAACATTCGCAGTGCAATCAGCTTGTGGAGCGCCCTAAAGAAGAAACCCATTTGTACCACACAGCTGGCCCATGGTGTGGGAGAAAACGGAGTCGCCAACTGGATAACAGCCATTGCTGTGGTGGTCAATACGGATTTAGTGGCAACGGGTTGGGCGCACTCTTTAACTTATATTTCCACCTTGTCTTACATTCTCCATCCCATTTCAGGCTCCTGTGATGGCTTTGTGAAACTCTGGCAAACGAATCCTAATGCCCGCAAGTTGCAACAGATTCAAAGCATACCCATAGTTGGCTTCGTTAACGGCCTCATTTTTAATGCCGAAGGCACTAAACTCTATGTGGGCGTCGGGCAGGAGCATCGACTGGGTCGTTGGTGGCGGCACAAAGAGGCCAAGAATAATGTAGTTGTAGTGGATATAGTGTTACAAAGTGCGGCCGGCAAGTAGGTTACTTTCTAAGTTTAAGTAAAGTTGTATAGTCTATACGAGTATATCAAAAATCGGCCTGAAAATAAAATGCAAATTCGGCTATTGATGTGACCGACAAATTATTTCCAGTATGGCACAAAGGTACCGATTTTTTGTCGATCGTAGCTAAATCGTTTTATTCGTTTTTATTCAATTTTTTAAAACTTGTCAATCTGGAGAATCGAATAAAAATATAGTGGAAAATTAAAATCGAGGAATATGGTTTTAATCGGTATTTGTTGAAAATGATAAGGTATATTTTGGTATATTTTTGAGGGCCGTGCGGTATAATTGATCGATAAATCCGCGGTCACACTGACTGCATTAAAGTGTTTTCATTCGCAATTTTCCATATTTTTCCAATAAATTAAACTGGAGGGAATTGAGTGGCCCTTCTACACAAGACACCAGGAGCTTCCACTGTTGGCTTTCTAAGGTCATTATGATAAACATTAGAGACTAAAATAGAACTTATTGCGTGTGAGTGCTCCGTCTGTTTCATTTTTGTTTCTGTCGCCTTGGGTTGGTTTGCAAACTCCAAATACCAGGCGACATCATCATCGTATCGTCATGTTTTCTGTTGCGTTCGCCTTTCCCGTCTTCTCCGTTGTGCCGGATTATAAATAGTTGTGTGAGTATGTCTGCCGTGTCTGCTGTGTGTATGTATATTACTCCGTTTGCGTCTGTGTCGGTTTGTGGCCGAGTTGATTTTCGGTGCCAATTATTAGTTCCAACAACAAGACTACGGAACGGAGTGTCGAAGCAACGGCAAAAAGTTACCAAAGCGGAACTGGAAATGTAGATGGCAGTGCCGTTCTTCTCCGCTCCCATCTTCTAAGCTGTCGATCTCGGCAGCAACATTATGTGCATGCATATGTACATACATTCATACTTATGTACATACATACATGTGTATGTCATGAAAGTGGAGAGCAGCTAAACCAAGAGTCATTTCCATTGATCTTCAGCTCCATATTGTTGCCCTCTAGACTCAGACTCAACACAGTCACAATTCACAGTTTGGTCATTTGTCGCAGCAGTCTGGTGCGGTGCCCAAAAAGAGCGATCGCAATAATCAGTAGTCAGTCGAGTTTCCGCTTTGCATAAATGGCAAATAATTGCCACCGCCCTCGTTCGCTGTGCCTGTGCTGTGTCTCGGCCAACCAACAACCAAGTGTTTGTGCTTTGCTTTAACGATTACACAAATAATTGCATTTCTCTTCGGGCGCAGTGCTGTTCCAAATGCACAGTAAAACAGAAATGGGCGTTAATTTGGTTGTGAGCAAGATAGCGAGCGTTTGTTTCGTCTGGCTTCCGGAAGTCAACAATCTGTTATATTATTCCCCACAAATTTTAGAATTGTGAAAGCTCCCAGAACCCAGAGCCCAGATTCCATAACACAAAGCCAAAGTTCCCATGGATCGCAGCTTGGACTCCATTGGCAGCTGTTCACTCGATGTAGACGCGGACTCTTCCGATATATCAGGTATATGGTATATGGCATATGGCAAATGGGTAGCTGCTGAGCCTCAATCTAACCTCAATCTGAATGCTGCCTCAAGTTTATTTATTGGTTTTCCTTTTGTTTTGCGTTTCAGCTTCATCTGCCTGCTCTTTGCTGTACCTTTTGTTCTTTGCTTGCGTTCGTTCGCGACTTGACCGGCCAACAAGACTAACTCTGCATCCTCTTTCTATTGCACATTGCAGATACCAGTGGCAGCCTAAACTTCCCAACGCCGCTCTCTGTGAAGGACATAACACGCGAGTTTACCGCCAACTTACGCGAGCGCTGCATTCTGCGATCGCCGCAGCAGTTACAGCACATCACAACCGCCTTTGTAGATCCCGGGACGGGCTTGGTGCGTATGGTGCTGTCACCTGTTGGCGCAGAGTCCGCCTATGAGCCGAACGCTGCAGGCGTCGATGTTGACATCGATGATTGCGCTGGAGCCTCTTCCATTGTCATCAACTCCACCGCCACCGCCATCGCTGCAGCTGAGAAAAAGCCTAGTTACCTGAACTTGGCTTGCAGCGTCAACGGATATTCAAATCTGACCACCTACGACTCTAAGATTCGCCAAGACATCAACAAGTCGCGTGAGGTTTCGCCGATCCGCCCCTCCACCAGCAGTCTGCAATATTGCAAGCGCAACAATTCCCTGGCGGCCCCAGTTCTCAATAGCATGCCTGTCATCAAACATCCCTGCACGCCCAGCAAGTACAGCCTGGTCGATGAGAGCAACAATAACAAGGGGCGCAGTCCGGAGAATGGAGTGGATTCAGCTATCGGCCAATGCAATGGTAGTGCCAATGGAAGCGGCGGCGGCAGCGGCAGCGGCAGCGGCAGAAATGGCCCAACCAGCAGCTTCATAAAGCAGCGTGTGGAGCGCCTGTACGGGGCAAGTGCTTTGACTCAGGGCTTCTACAGCCCTAAGAAGCATGGCCGGTCCAATTCGCCATCCTCGGCGTGGGCGTCAAAGCATCAGCTCGAAGTGGAGTCCTCGCAAAACTCTGAATTGGCTCGCAAATTTAAACAGCTCTCTCCCAGCAAGGATTACGGAGAGTTTCGGAAAAAGCTGCACAATAACTGCTCCCAGACTGCAACGACGCGACAGTTAGAGGAGTCTTCGCCAGAGAAAAACGGCGACGTGGACTTGCCTGTATTCAGGCACCTAAGTCATGAGTTCCGTGCCCAGTTACCCACGGTGTCGCCAAAGCGAAATGTGCCCCGGTCCATTGCCTCTTTAGAGGTAAATCTGGCCACTGGGGAACCACTGTCGGCACCAGCTGCAATAGATGTTGTTGACCACGAGGCCGTACAAATTCCACAATTGGATTCGGAGCAGTATATTGTGAACACATCAATTATAACATCCCCATCAAAGGAAAAGGATGGAAATCATTTTCTTAAAATACTTAAAGGCGAACAGGATCGTCTGCTTGCGCTGGCCGCCCTTGCAGAAAAGTACACAGATGCCTTGGCTGTGAGAGACCTGATGTTTATTACAGTTCTTTGTTTATTAACAATCTGAACCTTAACTTTCCGCAGAATAATCCCGCTATCACAGAGGACACCTTTGGACTGCTGCGCTCTGCGTCTGGGAAGGCGCGTCTTTTGGCCTCGAAAAAAATGAAGCAATTTGAGGGTTCGTGACTAGCAGCTTTCTTTCCTATTAGGGTGCAATTTATTTCGATAAACTCTGCTTTTCAGGCCTCTGTCACAACAATTTGAATCCCTCACCAGAGGACGCGTTTCCCACAACAAGCGACGATTTGCAGGGATTCTGGGACATGGTGTATTTACAGGTGGAGCAGGTTGATTCCATATTCGCCGATATAGACCAGCTTAAAGCGAATGATTGGAAGGTGAGTACTTAAAATTTAACATATAATTTGCAATAACAATTTGTGTTGTCACTTCCAGGCCAAACCTGAACCTTCTGCGGTGGAGACGGTGTCCACTAAAACAATAAAAACTACAAAGGCGGGAAATTTGAAATCGAAAACGTCCGGATCGACTAAAATAGCAAATGGTTCGAAATCAGCTGCTGCGAATTCGTTGGCAGCATTGCGACGTGAAGCCCAGAGGAAGCAATTGCTGGAGATGAAACGTCAACGCCGTGAGGCCATGACCGCTGGGACTAAGAGTCCAACTGCCTGTGAAGACGCCCCAGGGCAGCAGGGGGAAGGAATCGGGGAGAGTTCTGCCTTTTTGGGCGTGAAGAACAGCAGCTAAATAGTGCTCATTGCAATCGGCAATACATGCTCTCTAGGTATAAATCTATTTAAACTTAACACACTCACAAATGTAAACCACACTCATACTCGTACACAAAAACATAACAAGAACATACTACATATGCTTAGAAATTCCTAGTTGAATTAATCCTTAACTAGTCCCAACTAAAATGCACACGGTGGAGCTGAACTGCATGATTATTCTTGTGTCACAAATGTAGAGCGAGCCACCAACGGCCCGGCCCGCCTTATTTTCTAGTGGGTCGATAGAGTGAACCACAAGCTCCAGCATCGATAGCGACATTGATGGGCTTGATAGCGCCTTGAATTGTTCATCAAATTTGCCTTATCTGCGCTCGTTAAGCAACTTAGCTATACGCACTCTAAACTACTTGAAATTGTTCATGACAGTTATAAAAGACATTTATTCTTGCGTAATTACACAAGAAATAGGTACAAAAACAAACATAAAACGCTAACAAATCCCTTGTATTAGAGAAATCGATCTTTTATATTCATTTTTGAAAAGTAACGAATCTAAATTATACACACATAAATATATATATTTGTTGGCATATTAACAGCTGCATGAACTGAGATTGATTATTCTAGTTGTGAAGTTGTGAAGCTGCAAATAAAAAAGCACTCAATCTCACTCTCAATTAATTTTTAATATTTTGTAATAAATTATTTTTTCACATGTGGTAACAAATTGTATTCTTATTAAGGTGATTTAATTTCTGTCTTTGAAAATTGTGTCTTAGAATGGGTATCAGCAGTTAAGGTAAAATACTTAATGGTAACTCCAAGTTGCAGTATGGCAACGAAACGGGCGATTTCATGATCAAGCCATTCCGAAATTCGGGTACGGATTCAGGTGGCCTCACATCTTCTCCAGGTTCTTCTCAAGTACGGGCGACAGGTACATACATATGCACATGCATAAATAAATAATAGTAAACACAAGTTAAAAATTGTATGTGCCTGACAATTACCGGCCAATACAATTAAAATCTATTTATAGGTTCAGTAGTCTCCCATTCAACACATTTTCCTCTACAGTGCTGAACCAGTATTAAGGATGATTAAAAGAAAGCAAATGTTCGATTGTTTTAATAATTTTTATTTGGCTTCTATGGTACGACTTATGGTTAAACTATTTGTAAGTACAAATCTCGTTTTGCTCACTTTGCTTCGGTTATACATACATACATATAATCGTATGTCATTGCTCATAACTTGATGTCAGTTTCGTTTTCATCGCGCTTAAATCTCCATCTGTCGGAGTGTTTGAAGCAAGTGGAGTACTGTTATTCTACTCGTACGATACATATATGTATGTACT